CTGGGATTTATGAAACGTAGGAATGTGCTTTTACTCTTTGACTTAGAATATACCCCATAACTCAATTCTCTGGCCTGGTAGTGAAGTGGTTAATTAATGGGAACAAAATATGGTATCGCCACTTTGAGAAGTACTGCAATTACTAATGATGATACATATTTTTCATTCTTTTTGCTCAGGATCAGCTTAGAAGACTTCCGGGACAACTTCGATGAGCTGGAGATGTGTCACTTGACCCCAGATGCTCTGTCTGATGAGATTGCTGCCAACCTGGTAACACGACATCTCTCTCTCTCTCTCTCTCTCTCTCTCTCTCTCTCTCTCTCTCTCTCTCTCTCTCTCAGCTCACTACTATTATGCTCTCCCTTCCACTTTCTTTTCCGCCTCCCCCATTCTTTTCTTTCTCTTCCTCTCAGCAGTTGGAAAGTATTGGTTAGATCTAACGTACGCTCGTTGCCAAATTGTTGTTAGGTTTTATTGTGTCTGAATTTTACTTAATCAAGAGTATCTTGATTGTGTGAGATAGTTTGTGACGTGACATTTTACTTGTGTGCCCTAAAAATGTGTTTTCGTCTCGAAGAAAAATAGGTTTCAGATCGCTTTATAAACCTAGATTTGTATCGAGTAGATTGTTGATGTTTTGTGAGCTATGTACTCTGAACATTTTTAAAGGTAATAAATTCTCAGCTCTTGAACGCCAAGCCCAGTTGAAGAACAAAATCAGTGAAAACATATGCTCCACCAACTTCTGTCTGGCAACATACTAATAGCCGGAAGGAGCTCTCGTTTGAGTTTTTCGCGCTTTTATTTTCAAAGTAAATTTTGTCTACTTCATTCTTTGTAGGATGGGGATGTTTCAGTTTTGATACGCTGTGGGTGGGTGGTTTGCAGGTGCTCTTGTTTGGTTTGCTCTTTCTTTCCTATCACACATCGCCAGTACCTCCTCCTTCTTTTCTGTGTATGTTACTCTCTAATAATAAATCTAATCTAATCTTCGGCACTTGTATGACCTAACTGTGTTACAAGTGGCGTAAAACTGTTGATAAAACACAAAGCTAAATTCGTTGTAATACACAATAACATCATCAGTGCAGCTCCATTGAACAAAACCCGTGAATCGTTCAAACGCGTTTCATTACTCGCACAACCAAATCCACATTGCAGCAACTTTGAATGGATATAGACAGAGTCATATTATGTATTGCATTTTGTGTGTGGGTGTGTGTGTATATATATAATATATATATATCAAGGACTACTATACTCTATAGTAGTTAATTATAATGAAATCCAAGAAACCGGCATTTTTAGGCGGTTTGGACATTTTTTTCGATTTGTTTTTTGGCTCAAAATTTTGTATTCCTATTTAAAAACATTTTTATGTGTGGATTTTAGGGAAAAACTTTGATAAAAGCCTCATAAATGTTAATTTGCAGATTCCAAGCAATGGAAGTGACCACATTTTGGCGGCCATTTTCTCGCTAATTTTACCTCTGAAACCAGGCGACCCCACCTCCTTCAATTGCCTCGAGTTCTATTCAAGATATATGTTAAATATATTATGATATATAGATAAATAAATAAATAAATATAATATACTGGAATGGAGCAAGCAATCCTGAGATAAAAGTGAAACATGTGCTTCCAAGTTGCACAATATATCATAGATGTATAGATTGATTCTCTATTCCGCTTTCGTGTTTGTGCACTCCATAATTTCAAATGTGTGGGACCAATGCGCACTTCTAGAGAACGGAAACCTCACTTGTTTACAATGGCGTTTTAGAAGACGGGCTTTCCCAAGATTAGACGAAACCAAAATTTATTAAAGAATCGGGGAAAGAAGTGTGCGTGGTTTTTTTAAGGTTAGGTCCTAGCCACATGGATGCTGTGGACGCCTGCAAATTTTAAAACGTGGGGGTTAGGCAATAAGGAAAGAGCTTGTGCACAAAGCCTCCCAAGTCCAATGCGCGATAGTTTCGAACGGAAGTACGACTTGAAATAAACAAATCTGGCGGATTTTCTAAAATTACAGAGACAGAAGCGTCGGCCTACAAAAGCGATCGGCGAAATAAAGAAATTTAGCTTTTTGCAG